ATAAAATTTTCTCTTATCCTTTTAAGAAATGAATTAAGTCTTAAATTTAAAAGAAATTATTAAAAATTAAAAATCAGAAAAATGGGTAAAAAACTTAAAGCATTAATTTCTCACCCCTGCCATCCTCTCAACTCAGAAATGGGCAATCTTATTTTAGGATAGTTGGGGGAGGATAATAGATCATCTTTCTTTTCTTAGATGATTAGGAAGGAAATAAAGAATGATTAATCTATGCTTTCTCTTATAATCATTATGATTTCATGTAGTGATTCTTTAATACCTATTATATTATGGTAGAATATTTGCATGATATTTTCTTAGATTTTCTCTGATTTTTTCAAATTTTGGGACAGGCAGATCGTTTATGATGAAAAAGATGAACTTTAAGAGAATGATTCAGAGTTCTTACCGAATGAAACCATGAAATTCTATAATTAAGAGAGCTCGGATGTTGTAGATGCCTTTTAGTTGATGATTTTTTATGACAACTATATATAAACTAAGGTTATATATATATATATATATATATAGACATGAGATCATATGAGATCAAGGGTTTTTTCGTGAGACTTGTAAGATCAATTTTCAACCCTTGGATTAGATCTACAATCTAAATATTCATAATCACAAAATTGCCACGAGACTTCTCAATAATCACAAAATTGTCACCATGCAACTTTAGACCATTAGATTATTAGCTTATAAAGTTGATCAATTAACATAAATTGATCTTACGGGTTTCACGAAAAACCCTTGGTCTCACGTGAACCCAACCCCATATATATATATATATATATATATAAGGGCTGGTTTAAATACTAACCCAAACTATTGTGCAAACTATGCTAACCGATCTTGATCGTTCATTTTCTCATCAAATGGTCTTTATTAAATGAGTCTACAAAAATAATCATTTAATTAATGTATTAAATGAGATGTCTATGAATAACTGTTCAAAAGGTAATTTTGTAAAAAAAAATCGCATCACATTGTGAACCTATATTATTCAGACGATTTCGTAACCTCCAATCAACTACGAAACTGCCAATCTATACGATCAATAGTGTATATCATTAGCGAAAAATCTGGTTCATAATATTCATCAAAACGATGGATGATTTTGGCGAAATGCATACAAGTTTGGATTTGTGAACCTAATGAACATCACGCACACGCAACACTTCACAAATACATACAAGTTTGGATTTGTGAACCTAATGAACATCACACACACACAACACTTCACAAAAAAACATACAAGTTTGGATTTGTGAACCTAATGAACATCAGCAATATGACATAAAACAATAACGAATCCCAACGTCTACATCTGTGTTATTTGTGCTGATTTGATATCTGTTAATATATGTGTGTCTGTGCACAAATGTCTTAATGCATCCTAGTATGAAAAATGTAATCGCTATGTGTGTGATCAAGTAATATAACACAATGAACATAATGAACAGCCCCTATATAAGCATGATATGATTTGTGCTATATGACATAAAACAGTAACAAAACTAAAACTATTATTACACAAAGTATATAATTAAAAAGAGCAACAAGGATGTGAATTTACTGAAATTGAAAACTTAGTGAAGAATGTATATTGTATGTCATCCCGAAGTCAAATCTTTAATGAACATAATGAACAGCCCCTATGTAGTTAGTCTTCAAAACTAAAACTATATTAGACAAAGTAGATAATTAAAAAGAGCAACAATGATGTGGATTTACTGAAATTCAAAACTTAGTGAAGAATGTATATTGTTTGTCATCCCGAACTCAAATCTTTAATGTAGGCGTGTTCACATTAGCGTGTTCATAGCTATCGTATGTTCATATTGGGACACTTATTGATCATTTTCTTCACTTTCGAAATTCGAATTCCGAATGTATTCGTAGACATTTTTGGCTTTTTCATTCTCATTGTTGTCGATCCGTTTTACTCTATGATTATCCATATTACTCGGATTATAACGGAATCTTTACAAAATGGACTTTTTTCAAATTTACAATATCAAAACCATTATAGGAAGAATAAATGTAAAATTCAGTAAGATGAACACATATGAAACTTCATGTCATTATTACATAAAGATCAATTAGTGATATTTTAATATTTGTAACTCCCAATTAAAATATTTGGGAGTTACAAAAGAATGATAAATTACCTAAATATCCTTACAATTAATATGTGAGTTACATTTAAACCTAACTAAAAGGTGGAACATGATTGGTTGATGTTGGTTAGCATAGTTTGCACAATAGTTTTGGTTAGTATTTAAACCAATCTCTCTCTCTCTCTCTCTCTCTCTCTCTCTATATATATATATATATATGATTTTTTTGAGAACCATGAAATTGTAATAATTTTGAGAACCAGTGCATTATATGCTATTTCATATGATACTTTTTCATATAATACTAGGATTTAGAATATGTATTAACATATATTTGTTTTGCAGTGTGTTTGTTTCATATGTATCCAATTCATAATGTGAAACTTTTTACGCTTTGTTTCACAAGTACGTTAAAAGTGTTCATATTGTGAACCTTAGTACATGTGAAACAAACATATTATGAAATAAATATATGTTAATCAATATATTAAATTTTAGTTTTAGATGAAAACGATCATATAAAATAATATATGATGCACAAGTTTCCAAGATTATCATAATTTTATAAATTATCAAAAGATAATACTTATATATGTATGTATGCATATATATCTTTATAAGGAATTACGTGTTTTATGCATAAAAAGCATGATCGCTTATGCAAAAACTAAAGCAGAAAGGGATGCAATTTATGAAGAGAAAAGTGAAAAAAGTTACTCTTTACCACAATATTAGTATCCCTTTGAGCATTTTTCCAGTTGTTTGTACAAAACCATGGTTAAAGAAAAAGTAAATTTACTCTTTTACTTTCTTTGGCTTGTTTTCTTTTTAATCTTTTGGGTATTTTAATACTCTATTTTTTTTGAAAAATATTATTATTTTTTCTTTTCCAAATTAATTAAACATGAATAATTTTAAATCCTATACCATCCATTGGTTTTTTTCATGGAATAAATATGTACACATGTTCAATATTAATAATTATAAAAATACCTGCCAATTATAGTTATTATTGATCCCGTTCATCCATTAATTCATCTGAAAAATATACGTATTTGACATATAATTTTAAAAGTTATATGATTATTCTTATTACATTAAACATAATTCATATAATTATAACGCTAAAATATAAACATTTTCATATGACATTAGCTAGTCATGCCAAATGTTATGCTAGTGTGTATAAACGTTGGCAAACAAACAATTAAAACCATGCACAACAAGCAGTAACACCCTAATTTAAATCGTTATGGTTGTTTTGGTTTTTGAATCGATCACATGAGGGTGTTATCGGTGGTTATTATGGTGTTAATTTTTCATTAGATTACAAGTAGTGATTGTTTTCGGGTTTTTATTTTATGCATGGTTTTCCTCTAAAATCTAACCCTATGTATAATTAATGACATTAAGAAGGTCGTATTCGTATATAACAATATTGGGGTTTGGAAATATTGCATAATTAATTTGAATAAAACACTCTGTGTATTTAGAATTTATGAGCCCTATCTATCACATAATACGAAAACATTGCACATCCATGGAATTTAAGCGCACAAGAGCATGGAACAGGAGAAGGATTTCCCATTCCTTAGCCGGAAAGATATGTGGCCATGAAAGGCGAAGGAAGGCTGGAATGCCAACAGGCGTCTAAGGTCGGCCAGTGAGACGATGGGGGATAAGCTTCATCGTCGAGAGGGAAACAGGCCATTCGGCAGGGGGATTCTGAAATTGCGGAGGCTTGGTTCGACCAAGCCGCTGAGTATTGGAAACAGGCTATAGCACTTACTCCTGGTAATTATATTCGCTTAGCCCCGTTCATCTTCGGCGCAAGAGCGCTCGATCAGTGAGCTATTACGCACTGCTACAACAATATGAACAATATATCATTCGCAATAACACTTTTCTATTTCCGCAAGTAAAGCTCCTGATAATGAAAAACATATATATAGAGTTCGAATTAAAGAGGATTACCAAATACTATTGTCTTAAAGTTAATTATTTGACTCCGATTCAACAAGAAACCTACAAAACAATCAGGACATATAATCCTAAACTTTAAACTTAGAAATTTTCATATACAGATAATTAACACTTTGATGGTCTTTTGGCGATCAAGTAATTAATGCTTTAATGGTCTTTCTGCGATCAGGATTATATATAATTTTCAGTACATTTTTAAAACAATTAACGAATGGTAACATGCATCAAGTAAAAGAGAACCATTTATGCATCTATCAAGGTTTATTTAGGGTCCCAAGAGTTATAGTAATTTTCTAAGTTTGGGCTTTTTATGGAGATGTAAGCATTCTTTGCTTCTCTTCTCAATTAAGTTGATGTTATCCTTGTGTTTACTTGACTTGTTTTAGCAAGTGTAAAGCATAGATGGCAGTCCCTAGGAAAGAAGCTGAAGAGGGAGCTCTCTCTTACACCTTTCGCAAAATATACTCATCCTTTTCCTGCTCTATGTAAAGTGCTCCATTACAATTACCAAAGATCACCTCATCATCCTTTTAACAAAGTTAAAGCTCTCTCTCTCTCTCTCTCTCAAGAACCTAAAAAGATTAACCGGGACTTTATATTTTCTTGCAAAAAGAATATATATATATATATATATATATATATATATTATGAAGATGTAATATATTAAAATGGTTATCACAAATTTGATGGGAAGGACATGCTTTTCAAAACCTCCTCCCTTTTGTTGCCTTCTGTCTTTACTTCAATTCTCTCTTTCACTTTTCTTTTCCTTTTCTGATTTCTCAGTGGGGACCTGAATCTTTTTCACCAGCAACCATTAAAATAAAAACATATAATGATATTGAAATGAATATTTGCAGTACAATCAATATATATGTAGTTTATCGTCATAGTTGTCATCGTCATCATCCTCTTGCATCATGTTACTGTGGCCTTCCCAAAGTGAACTCCAGATTGGGTTTCGTGGGGCATAGACTTCTTGAGTTTACTTCTAATAATCCCTCATAGTTCACCCCGATAGATGAATTGGTTTCCTTCTGGAAGAAATTTATGGCATCAAAATTGTATGAAGAAATAATTATATTATATATTTATATTCACAAAAAGAACATGTTTTTACTCTTCAAAACACACCCTCTTGAGAACGAATATGTGAATCGTAAACTAACTACAAGTGTGTTAAGTAGTTTGCTTTTCATATCCCTTAAAGGGGTGAGATTTGCCTCCATGTTAAGTTATCCATGTAAAACAGAACATCTTTAATTACCAGTAGTCTATTGAAATCTGGATTTGGATGGCATGCAAGATGTTGCCTTTACATGATTTATATCTACCATACAGTTAAAAATTTCTGTATATATATTAATTGGTCGACTTATCTCTAGCATGATGCTTGATTAATTAGAGCGAGGTTCAATTCATTACTGAATATACAATGTGTATGCGTGTGTTATGCAACACGTAAGATTAAGTGGACACCCTTAAGGCCAATCTGTGGTGTTACTATTTTAGTATATGTGTGTGTGTGTGTGTGTGTGTGTGTTTACCATTCAATGTTATAGTGGCTGCTTTAAGGATTTGAACATGTTGCACCCTTTGAAGGATGTTCTTTTCTTTGCTTTTAGCCTTAATGCCCTTATCTTACAAAAGGAATAATTGAGCCTTAAATATATTTGGATGAATTGACTGGTTTTCCAAAAGCCTTCATCTTTTCTGCTCTTTTTTCCCACTTCAGATAATATTCTTGTTAAAGAAGGCTATAACATTATAGGATGCCATCAAAAGTGGTCAAAGGAGATTCATCTAAACGTAAAAAAGATAAAATTTAATTCAACTATAAAATAAAAAGGAGCATAATATATCTACCTTAAGAGATGGCATATTTACTTGAGAATCTTTATGTTTGCCATGCAGCCAAGCTTCCCTGCTACAAAGACCAGTACATTGAGAAGGGAATATTTCCAATCAGTGGGAAGCCCATGCAGAAGGGAGGAAAGAAGAGAAAAAGCAAACTCATATAAAGAAAGCTACATCTCACTGTCTTGAGATAAAGTTAAAATCAACCCATGTGCAATGCCATTACCCATGAGAAACAAGATGGAGGGGTAAAACTGGAAGAAGAAAATGGAACATATACACACAGTACACATAAAAACAGAAAGAAAGTACAAGGAAGTTATGAAAGAAGCAAATTTGGCACCCAAAAATTTCTCACATAATGGGTCCATCATCTAAAGGTCTTAGCTTTGGCACCAAGTTTTCCAAGCAGTGGATCCCACTTGAGATGACCATATGAAGCCCACGAAATCAATGGGAAAGAGATATGTTCATCTTTGGCTTAATTAGGCTTTCTAAAGCGGGTCTCACTAAGAGATTCTTCCGATATCATGATCAAGTGTTGTTGAAATTGTCAAAAACCTTCCAGCCTAGTGGTAAAAGTTTGGGCACGACATAGTCATGAACCCAAGTTCGAGCCCTGAGAGGGGAGTGTTGGCGACATTTAAGTGAAGCCATGTTTAGCCTCCAAAATTGCTGGGGATTAGTCGGGCGTTGGCCCGGACACCCTTACAAAAAGTGTTGTTGAAATCATTAATTTGTGAGTATTCCAAACATTGCATAAGGATAAAATGAGGTTATTTCTGTGTGATTGGAAGGGTCACATGCTTGTTGTGTCACTGAAACAATGTCTTTTGCTAAATCAATGGAAATAGTAGCATATAAACTAAACTTCTTCTCTCTCCAACCCTAGCAACTCGGGGAGAACTAACTGTAGAGCAGGGTTGTATTTTTTTCTTCTCTTGAATGGATGGATTAGGAGGCCAAAATGTGATATGAATGCTTAAACCCTAATTCCACCAGAAATATGTTTATTGAAGGACAATTCTACGGAGTTCAAAAGGAATTCTAAAATTATCGAGCATGCTACGGACGTTTATTTTGTATAAACACTATCATATACAAATGCCTTTGAAATCCTCCAATAATCCAATGAGTACTACGTATTATTGAATTTTATGAAGCTTGTTAGTCATGAATGTTCATAATTGCAAAGAATTAATTGAAATGAAATGAAAGAACACAAGTTTGCACCTTGAAGAATTGCTCCAAAATGCATGTCGATGATCTTTTATAGGATGGACCTCAGCTCTTCCTCCATGTTCAACTGATGAATCTGTCCTCTTTAGGTTTTGAATGTCAAACAATATATCATCGGAAGTATCCCCAGATGATCCATTCTCGTGGACATCTGATTGCCCTGATTAATTAGAGGTTAAAGACCACCCTTTTGCATTAATAAACGTAAAACTTTATCAGTTGGAGGTTCAGAAAAGAAATAGTAAAGGAAGTCATAACTAACCCGAAGAAGCTGGTGCTTTATCAGTTGTTTTAATGGTCCTATACATCTGCAAAACAATAAGTGATGATCTCTTAATTAGAATATCAAGAAAAGAAGACCTGCATGACGTTAAATGACCAAAGTTAATTAGAATTATTGCTAATTAATACTTGCTTTAATTTTTCTCTCATTACTTTTTAAGAATGGTAATTTGTTTAAAATATACAATTCGAAAGTACTTTGCAAGCTCTTAAAATTCATATTGATCATCCTAATATAACACGCATATTTACCATATAATTTGCATTGAATTTCTCTCTCTTATTTCCTTTCTCTTTGAAAAAAAAGGCAAGGTTAAGTACAAAGCATGAGTAAATGACCACATATATACTAGATGGTAGAGGATGTGACCATGCACAGAACCTGCACATAATTATGGTGCATGCCCAGATAAGTGAAAGTTATCTGGCTAATTGACTTGACCAGAGTTAATAAATGGTTTATGAAACCACATGTGATGCTACATATACATATCATTGATAAATGATGGCGTTTTCTGTACTTTTTGAAATCTGGAAAAGGAGAATATTATAATATTTTCTTTCATATCCACCAAAAAACCTATTAAAAAGAAAACAAAACACAGAATTGACTGTGAGTAATCTTGTCTCAGCTTGAGTTCTGTGTCTATATTTTCATTTCCTTGGTCTTTGTTGTCATGTTATGAATGTTTCTCTACCCACTACCCAGTACCGTAAAATAATATTAAAAGAATTTCATGCTCTACCCTCTCAAAAAGGATGTCATGCATATTTGATAAATTTTGATTATCAATTAAATATTTTATATTTTTAATAAAAATAAAGTAAAAAAACGGTTGTAAAACTACTTCAATACTATTACTTCCTAAACAAAGAGGGATGTAGTTAATAAAGAAAACTCGACTACTTAATAACCAACTATTTAATTAAACTTGTAAAGTAATATCAAAATTATCGATTTCGTGTATAAATACTAATTAATTAGGGTAAGAAAACTAATACTTATATCATAGGGAATTTAACTAATATAAACAAAAGTATATAAAATCATTTTAGTATGATCAAATTGACAATATTATATGTGTTTCTATTATACAATGAGATACTTGATCTTCAATACATAAAGATGTATATATATATATATATATATATATATATATATATATATATATATATATATATATATATATATATATATATATATATATACACCATATACAACTAACGGGCAGAAAAATTGGACATTACTGTTACAGGAAAAATAATGAATTTTTTTATAGTCTCATTATTTGTCAGGAAAAGTTGATTGTAAAATTTATAGCTATGGAGAAGCACAGGTGCAGCAGGAGAAAAACAGGTACCAAGGATTAGAAATACGGAACCTGTCTGTGTGCAGGTAAACAAGCATCGGAATTTGTAATTTTTAATTTAATTATAGCTTTGTTTATTTCTAATAATTAAGGCAGAAGAGCTCTTCTTCTTCTAATGCTTAAAGTCAAAAAATTAAGTAAAAATTAAAGGGTGCATCTTCATTTGCATAGATTTTAAGGAGTACTTCAATTTGACGGTGTAGCTTTTTTATTTTATTTTACGTATATGTGTGTGTATTATACATATCTGTGCAGTGTACAAAAGATGAATCTTGAAAGCTTTGAAGAATTCAAGATTCTTGCATTAATTTAAACCTAATAAAAACAATTTTTCTCTTTTCTGAATTAAAATAAAATATTTTATTTATTTATTTTGAAATCGTGGGAGAAATGGGGAGATTGGTTTACCTGCAAGTGAGATTTAACATGTGCTAATGTGAGATCTTTCACATCCATTAGCTCAAGGACTGATTTGGGTGTTGCCCCTAAACTCATTAGAAAAAGATATATCATCATCAATGGATGAAATGCAAAAGAAGAAATTGAAGGGGAGTTATAATTGAAAAGGATTTATGATAAAGAAATGTTGAACATACTTTCATGGCCACCCAAGAGCTCAACAGCATGAACAAACCGAGCATGAAGAGTTGTAGTCCAACGCATCCTGGGAGCTCTCATGCTGCGCTTGGACGAAAACCTCGCAGACAAGAATCTTGATTGGACAATATTATTGGCATGAATTAGGGAAGAACTACTAGTTGGAGCGGTGGTGCAAGAATAATCTATTAAAGGCTGATGTTGATTGTGAGATAGTACTGTGAGATTAGGAGGACAGCTGGGATTATGGTGATAAACAGGAACCCCTCTTATGGGTCTCAAGAACCCTAGCTCTGATCTGAACCCCAGATGATGGTTTTGGTGGGTGAGATTTGCTGTATTGGTGTTTTGGTGGGAGAGGAGGTGGTGGAGATGGGTTAGGTCTGGATTGGTGGAATGTGTTGGGTGGGGTAAGTTGAGCCCGAAAGAGGGTTCAGGTCTTTTTGTTGAGCTATGCTGTTGTTGGGAGTTGAAAGCTCTCTTCCAGATATTCCCTAAATCTAAATCATGTTGATCTTCATCAGTTGTCGATGATGATGTTCTCCAAGTTGTTGAAGTGGGTTTGGTGTTGGGTGGACTGATCTGGAGAGATAAATCTGGTTGTGCTGGAAAAAGCTCCATTAATTCCACCTGCAACTCTCTCTCTCTTTCTCTCTCTCACTCTCCTGTTCTTTTGTCTTCCTTTTAGGTTATATATAAAGCTTGGATATGGCTGTCTGATGATATAAAAGAGAAGAATATAGGATGATGAGTGATGGGTTTGTTTCCAATTTCTGATCTTGGATATGGAGTACGATCGATGACGGAAGCTTTATGTTGTTGAATTGAACTCAAGATTTCTTGAGATGGGATTTTTCAATCAATGGTGATGGGATTGCACTGTTTTGAAATTGAGAGAGAGAGAGAGAGAGAGAGAGAGAGAGAGATGACAAGGTATAGTATGAGTCGAATGGTTGTATCTCTCATGTGAAGTATACTCAGAAAATGACACTTGAAGGGAAGAGAGAGAGACTTTGTTTCTGTGGACGTGGGGGTAGGAAAAGAAGAAAGAGATGAGAAAGGAAAAATTGGAAAATAAATTTGAGACATGATTCCTCCATCCTCATTTCCTTTTTCATCTTAAGTTTGTTTTGGAAAAAACATACAAAAAGTTAGTTTTTTAATATATATTTACATTCTTCAAATAAAAAATATGTTAATTAATTATTTGATTAAAATTAGTGAAATAATGTAATTAATATGATTGCAAACAAATGCATATGTAATCAATTAACAATTTTTTTTTTTGTTTGAGAATGTAAAGAAGAATAAATATGCACCGATCATTTTATCACTTAAGGACACTTTTTGCTACGCGTAGACATACTTACTTTAAATCTTTTTTAAGCATTTTGTAGTTCAGAAAACAAAAAGAAAAAAATTCAAGAGTTGGCGCATTCTATAGCGGTGAATATGATACACCTTTATGTTTTTCCTTAACCGTGTACCAACTAAATTATAATTGGTATATAAAATTTTCTTAACACTCAAACCCTAATAATTAGAAGCCACCACCGTATAAGATCAGCAACCATAAATTACTCATACACACTTATTATTTTGTATATGAGATTGAACACTAGTCAAGAACTCCATGTAGAAGCTATAAAGCTAGGGAAAATAATAAGAGTGAGCAAGAACGACGAATAGTTAAGAAAGAGGACGAGGCCAGTGCAACCATGGCGTTAGAGACTAGTCACTGAGTTAGAGGGTAGAATATAGAAAAGATAGTATAAAGCTAAAAGTATTTTGGTAAAAAAAAACTAGAAGTATATAACCATAAATATTAAATAAAAAATAAGTTAATGTAAATAAGTCTGTGATGTGCACGCGGTAGCATCATAATATTCATTTTATTGTACAGTGTATGTACAATTGACTATACATTTTTTATACGAAATAACAACTAAAAATGTTAACATCAATTTAACTAATGATATTGGTATTAGCGTTAATAGAGTTTAGTTTATTATGATTTTGACACCCCTACGGTTTTGATGAATCATCTTAATAATAAATACATCGATTGCAAATCTTCAATCAACCACCGTGTTTTTTTACCTTTATGTTAATATCGTAAAACATGGTGAATCAAAGTGTTTAATCATTTTTATCTTTATGTTAATATCTTAAAACATGGTGAATCAAAGTCTTTAATGTATTCAATTAACATCTTTTTTTTTTTTTTTTTTTTGTAAATAGTGCACAAACTACTACTTAAGTTATTTTATGTTCTAAACAAAACTAAAATATATATATATATATATATATATATATATAGGCTCAGAAATAATATATTTTATGTTATTAATAATGCATGCCTCATTTTCAATAGTAATATAAAATTGATAACAACCAACACATCAACATCATTTAACTCCCAAAGAAACTAATATAGGTTTCATAATACCAAAAATTAGTAGCCGTTTCACTAGATTGAAAGAAATGGCCAATGATGTTGGATTAGGTAGGGGTGAGCATAGGCGGGTACCCGTCCTTTTTGACAGGAACCGGAACCGGTTAGAGCGGTTCTTGAATTTTTGGAAACGGAACCGGAACCGCCGGGAACCTGTTCCGGTTCCGGGTACCCGCTTCCTAAAATATTAAAATTTTGTTATTTAGAAATAAAAATAAAATATTGCCAAAACACTAAATTAAATAAACAAGAATACAAATTATACGGAATAATGGTTACAAATATTGTTTTAACGATTACGAACCATAATAGAATAATAGAAAATGTTCAAAGTTTAACGATTATATACTATAATTATAAATGTTCAAAACTTAACGATTACATACTACGAACTGTAGTTTAGTAGAACTAGAAAGTAGATGAAGAATGAAGATGACAGCATCATTTGAAGATGTAACTTAATATAAATTTGGTATTGAAAAAAATCAATTATTTTTTTATTGAAAAACAACCGCCGGTTCCGGGTTCCCGGCGGGTAACGGTTCCAAAAAACTGAGAACCGGAACCGTTCTCAATCAGTTCCGTATTTTAGGAACCGGAACCGGAACCACTCATATCGGTTCCGGTTCCGGAACCGGCGGTTCCAAGGCAGTTCTGGATCTGCAAACGGGTACCCGATTCCGCTGCTCACCCCTAGGATTAGGGACAAGGAAATTGGTGATTTTCACGACGTACCATGATGATTATATCTGATTAGTTATTTATCGTCCAAGTTTTGTAATATGATGGTTTAGTGAGGTTTTTCTTTCATATTTAGATAATAATTTGTAATTACATTTTGCATCTGGATTTTTGTGGTTCCCCTTTTCTAATGTGATTTTATATATTCTTTCACAATGTATACTTTATGTTAATACTCGTGTTATATATAAAATTTTGGACACAATTATATGTATTATAGAGTTAAAGTATAATGATGAATGGAATGGTTAATCTAGCTCGATCACACATGTAACAAATTGATTATTGAAATAATGCAAATATATTTTTGAGATTAAAAATGATTGTACATGTGATGGAAGAGGTAGGTTTAGTAGTGTTCCATCATGATTAAGATGTTAAAAGAGTTAGTTGTGCACACCAATCAAAACATATGCATTTTAGTTGAAATCTTTCTTAAACGTGAAGGAAAACTAGTGGCTCCTAATATAGAAATGTGTCAAAGGATGTTTGTCGGAGTAGGATATATTTCAAGAGTCATGTGTGGATAAACGACGACCAAGAGAACGTTGTCAACTTAATTGAGTTATTTGAGCAATTCCCTACATGTGCAACGTATGCCAGTTTTGGCACATTTATGTACATGTGCAATATGTACGTTTTGGCACAATATGATGCATGTAAAACCTATTGAGCATGTTCATACCTTACGTAATCCTTTTAAATTCATACAACATGTATATATATTGAGCTCATTTAAATGCTTACCGGTTGAGTCCATTCTCACATACGTGTAATGTTTTTAAACCACGTATAAGTTTTCAATAGATGATCTGAAGGGGGCATTTTATCATGTATGAAAGAACTATGTGACCTATGTATAACATCTCCAAGCAAACATATCATATATTGTCATTTTTATCCACATTTGAACCCATGGTTTCAGAATGCGTCTAATAGAAGTGGTATCTAGTTCCTTAGAAGATAACATTTGTTCCCCTCCCTAGACCACTGTGGGATCTCACACTATGTTTGAATTATATTTCATAAACACTACTCACACTATGATGAATTAGGTTTAGGATGCCAAAGTTGTGTAAAGTGTCCTAATATGGTACTTTATAACACTTAAGTTTATAGGACCAGATGATAAAACATTCTATATAAGAGTGGTGCAATAATTTTACAGGATGCTTTTTGGATATCTTGACAATTTTTAGAACATTTTAAACGTCATAGCTATTTTATAGTGATAAAGTGTCTTAGGAATTCAAATTTTTGGGGTGGACGAATTTCCAAAGTGCCTTTGGACTATGGGCCTTCTGATCAAAGGTTTTGAGTCTTCATTCATTCCAAGTCTTGGCTCAAAGCCTCCGAGCTTTGAGTTCCGTTTTCTGAAGGCTTATGATCAAAGCCTTTGAGCCTTCAACTCAGAGCTTTCGATCGTGGTACCTCGTTCAGGTACGGTGCTTCGGAGTCAGTTACAACTGTCACTCAATCTTATCTGTACGCGGTGGTAACTGACCTACATTTACATGTTAACCGTCCATAACTATCCATCTCTCTTATAAATATATAACGGTTAAAATGGTGAATATCTATACACGTTTTTGTGCCTTAAAACATTGAATTTTCCGGATTATCTCGATAGTAATTTTGTGTTAACCTAAGACATATATATAAAAGGGTGAAATATAGTTTTTGAAAGGGATTTCCAATTACCTATCCCTAAAGATTATCCAAGTCATTACAACCCACAATCCTGATTCCCCAACATGGAGGAAACGAAGAAGCTTAAGGCATTGTTTGTTAAAAGAACTCTTATCAGTCTCTTATATTTAATTCATTAAAGGATAGAGTCATTTAGATTGTTTTTTTTTTTTTCAATTTTTCATAGAGCACATTTATGTCTTATTGTCGTCATCTTATTTGGTAAGAGGTAAACCAACATCTTCTTTGCCTTTTATTGTTCTCCAAACCCTCAGCAACGATGTTCTCAGTTGCTTAACCTTAATTGATCATTTCTCTCAATCGATCCTTACCAAATCGATCATCACCTCTCTCAATTGATGTATTTTAATAAAATTTAAATGTGTTAAATACCGTTAATGACATTTCATTTAAATGAATGTCAATTATATAATTCAAATGTAATTGGTGTAATGATGATGAATAAATATGTGAAATTGTAAAAAAATTTCTATAAATTCAACACTATAATTTTCTAATGGGAAAAATAGATAGTTTAAACAAATTCAAATATTTATCACTTTACAAAAGCAAACAGTCTATTTGATTCTGATTTCAGACTTTAGTATCACCTCTTATCAATCCGAATAGAAATAAGACTTCAGATTTCAACATCTATTAAAAATCAAATGTCAGTTAAGTGTATCCATCTTAATGAAAAAATTATAAGACCTAAGCGAGTTAGAACCTCATAATATGCCGTGCATGTTACTTCTAAATTTCAAAGGATGAAATTGATGTTTATGTGACGA